TTGATAGAAATCATTCTTATATTTTTTGATCAAACAAATTATTAATTTTTAGAACAAAAACACAGAAATAATTGAAAATGTAAAAAAAAGTTTTGACCGGGTTGATTGGGTTGACCGAGTTGAATGGGTTTCATCGGTTTGGTTAGGTCTGAGCTAGTTTGATCGGTTTTGACTCGATTTGACCTCAAACCCGGTCAATATCATCAACCGACTCGTTTTTAGAACCAATTTTGATTCAACCGATTGAACCAATGTAATCGGTCTGATTTGAAAATAGTGTTTGCAACTTTTATGCACTACTTCTTGGGTTTTCCCATTTCTTTATCTATTACTTGTACTTATATAATTACTATTATTACCTTAATAATGATTTAATTTATTTAAAATATTAATAATTGAAATTCATGTAAAGTAATAGTTTTAAAATTTGGTTGTCATTAAAAAAAAAATCTTGTGTACGAGACTTCCTAATTAACAAATATACTTATGAATGACTAAGGACTATTTTTTCATTATTTGTTTCATTGACATTATTTATGATGTTGTAAATGCTTGTAAAAAGAAAATTTATAAATTGGACATGTATTTATTTGGTGACATTAGTACTTACCTTCTTTATGTGACCATATGTTTTGCAGGATGTCAGGCGGGCCCATTAACTTCGCGCGGAGTCGCACCACATCAGGGAGACCAGGACGTCACGACGCTGTAGATCTTGCATGTGATGTTACCCTAGTAATGAACGTGGGGCATACTCAGTCTATTAGTCTACAGGGTTCTATTCATGTAGCAGTCACATCCTATAGCCAGAAGCAGAAGAGAAGAGGTCCAAACAAATCGAAAAAGGCTGCAAGAAGACCAACTGAGAGACCATTTATACAAATTTCGCATAAAGGTACATTCTTGGATGTTGAAGTTCCTAGATTGATTACAACCCTATGGAAGAAGGTTTATGATGGTGATTACTTCACGTATGACTTGTTCCCAGAACACAAAAGGGTACAAGTGTGGGAGTTGTTTAAGGAAAGAATAATTATCATTTCATACATAATCCTTTAATCAAATATGTACTGTATGATTACTGATAACATAACAACATATATGATGAAGCAAAAATCAATATTGTTGGTGCATTGGTCGATACAGGTAATCTAATGGTATGAGTACTGCATACACCTTAAAAACAAGAAAAAAATGAATAAAAAAAATCATTATATGACATTGGTAAAACAATATGGTATCACAGTAGTCATCATATGACACAAAAATCCTTATAATTCTGAGTTTATCAATAAAGTATTAAAAGTTTTGATTTGTTTCGATTAGCTCTTTCATATGGACAAAATAGTAATTAACTATATACAAAAAAATAGGATATGGTGTATATACTGTGTTATTATACTATATGTTATTAAGTTACTTGGAAATAATTTGTTTGTATGTGGTGTCAGACACATTATCAATGGGCTGTAGAGGATGAGGATGCGGTTCGAAAGGTGTTCTTAAGATCAATGAAGAAAGGATGGGGCGATAATATGAAGGATGAGCGGAATAAGTGGCATACAAACGGTGAGTATAGGCCGATATGGGTGCTTGAGCACCTATGGCCTACATTATGCACTTATTGGGATTCTTATGAGTTTCACATTCTTAGCAAGAGGGGGAAGAAAAATCGAGCATCTGGGGAACGAGTTTCACACACTACAGGATTAGTGAGTTTTGATGTACATAAAGAACGGATGGTAAGTAAGAAAAGAAAGAAAAGTGTATATATATATATATATAATAGATAATGAACACAATGTATAATACTTTTTTGTATGATTATCGATTAACTATAAATATAAATAACTTGCTATTTGTCGTAATGTGGTTGTGACACACAGACCAAAGCTGTTGGGGGGATAAGGCCAGCACACCAAGACCTATATAAGGAAACACACACTTTGCGAAAAGGTGTCCCCCAAGGGCAGGAAGCTCCATGGTGTGGCGACAAACATAAGGATTGTCATGTAAGTGCAAACATACTGGATAAAAAGTTTTCTATGAGTGACATAGATTGTTGGAAAAAGTGAATAAAAGGTATATTAATAAAGTTAGTGGTGTTAAGTACAATATAACAAAAATTGTGCATGAGTAAGTATTAGTATGTGTAGGTGTTCATAAAACAATTGTGCTTGGGTATTGATTGTCGCTCCATGATTGCTACTTTATTATCACTTGTTCGTAAATAATAATGGTTACATTTTTTGGCATTATTATGTGTATATTGTGGCAAAAATTTGCAGTCATATATTGTAGGTTTTTTTTGCATTACTTTTGTAGGATACGTATGTCAGTGAGTGCTCTGCTACTTATGGCTTAGACTCAGCATCATGGCCGCCACGGGACAATGACGCTTGGGCAGTTGCTGTTGGGGGATGCCATAGCAATTTCATGGCGGGAACTGGTTCACATGTAAACCCAAAGGAACTTGGGTTTACATATAGAAAGCAACAACCAAAGGGGAATTCATATATGAGCTTGATGTTATCAGACATGGCCGAAAAACAAGTGAAAGATAGGGAGGCAATGCAAATGATGCAAGATGAAATAGGGTAAGTCAAAGAGCAACGAGAAGCAATGCAACGGATGATGGAAGAAATTGGGAGGATGCAAGCTTTTCTATCGTAGTAATTCACTGCTTTTAGTGCGTACGGGATGCACCAGCCTAGTGCTACCCCATCGTTGCCTCACACCGAGCAAGCATTTCCTCCTGTAGGGACATCATTCCCTATTGCTGGGCCATCGTTTCATGCTAGTGGGCCATCATTTCCTCATGCAATGCCAATGCAACTCCCGATAGAACCTGCATTCCCAATGGGCCAAATGGGGAGACAGTCAGAAGCTCCAGATACATCTTCAGCCAATCTCCTACAAGATGAGTTTGGTTATCAGCCGAGATTTGATGCAGATTACCAGGGTCCATTTGGGCCCGAATGATCAGTGTGCATGAGGTTGCAAACTCAAAACATGGCATGTTCTTGCTACTTGAGGAAAATACTTTTATTTTTTGGATGGATAATTTGAACTTGTTAGGACATAAGTGTATATGTCAGTTGGAATTAAATGGTTTGTGCTTAATTGTTTTGATCCCAGAGTTCAAGGGCTTATATGCATCAATTAAAGTCTAGGGGCTTAATAACGATTCTGGGGTTAGTTCAAGGGTTTAACTTATGGTTTTGCCTTCGATTTAAGTACTACTCAACCCCGTCCCATATTATTTATTTTATCGAGGTATGCAGGAATTAAAAACAGAATTATTGTTCATGTTTTTTTTTTTTCAATGAATAAATCATTGTTGATGAGTAATCAATATTTTTATTACTTTAACTATTAATTACTAAAAAAAGTATTGTTATCTCAAAATTCATGTTACAAGGGCGGTGATTATATCATTGGCCTCATGTGAAATTGATAGTGGAGCTTCGTTTAACCCCTCCACCTTAATTGTAATAACTTGCAAATGTTCATAA